GTAGAAGAGTTCAATTAGCATTGAGAGAATAAAAATCGCACGACAGAGAAGAATAGAAGTGACATTTGTTCCTAAACTTCATAGCCTCTGGAAGATAAGTACGGACGACTTCGTACCAATCCTCCAGACTCTACTAAGTCTGCTCGTGAATTGTGAGACCCAGGCAACCTAGTGCTTTGATACCAACTTGTCACAACCCGAAATTCTCACCTTTCGGGACCGTGATGGAGCCTAAAATTTCACTTGCTTGGCAAGCCAACGCTAGAGGATTATTAAGCCAATCCTTATTCAATTCAATTAATAACAGCAATTAAGGTAAAACAAATTAAAGTGAGTGCGGAATTATATAACAGCCTCAATATTTACTACAACCCGGATCTGGAGTCACAATTCACGAACTTCTAGGATATACTACAAGTAAAAATTTGAAAGAAATACAACTGTTTGAAGGAAAGAACCAATAAAAAAAAATAGAAAAGATAGACGGGGACTTCAAGGTCTGAGAACGCCCACAGATCTACCTTGAGTCTCTGATGAACTAGTTCGAGCTGCTACGCCTCTCGATTAGCTGGGACCAATGCCAAAATCTGCACAAGAAGTGCAGAGTGTAGTATGAGTATAACCCACCCCGTGTACTCTGTAAGTGTCGAGTCTAACCTCGACGAAGTAGTGATGAGACTAAGGCGGGTCACTCACACTACAACCTTTATGCAATATATATATAATAAAGGCAGAAAAGGAAATGCAGAATAGAATAAAGCAGTAAATTGCAAGAAATAACTACAACTCCAGGAACTAAGCCAACAACGTTCAGAATTTACCAATCCTTAAGTGCAAAGGGTTTGAACAAAAGCTATTGGGTTAGGCCGAACCCGCAAATATCATCGCGGCTCCGCTAGCTAATTTTAGTATAAGCTTTAGATGTATGGCTATTTAGGTCAACTCTTCCATTTTAATTCATACTTAGACCCCCCACCCCCGAAGTTGGTGCTATTTCTACCTTACTTGTTTGAGGCAGTTAGGAAAGAGGTCTAGTTGGATGATTTTAGCCTTTATGTATTTCACATGTAATCCTAAGGGAAATCCAGTGAAATGCATTTTAAAGCTTCATTATGTCTATCTTCCTTGAGTTTCTTCGTTTCTTATCATTTTATTTTCTGCTTTCTAGTTAAGAAGACTTTGATCTACTTCTTTCCTTTAGTTTACTGGTTGTGAAAACATAGCAAATTGGTTTTTCTGTAGTCACAATTGTTGTCATTAATTTGGGAAAATATGGGAGCAGCTCGACTTCGACGAATCAGAGCCCAAAACAAGCTTTAAGGAACCTACAATCTCGTTTAAATCCTAAAACAAAAATTAAGACAGCCAGAAGGTGTCCCTTGGCACCTCTTAATCCCTTTTTTTTTTTCGGCAAAGGGCCAAATATACCCCTCTATTTTTGAAAATGGTCTAAGAATACCCCTCGTTATACTATTGGGTTATCTTTACCCCTGCAGTTATACTTTGGATTCAAATATACCTCTCATTTAAACTTAGGGACACGTGTCATCGTCATGTTGGTCAATTCTAAATATCTCCTAATTAATTAAAAAGATCAATTATCCATACCGAAAAATAATTTTTTTTTTGTAAAAACTGGAAAAAACTAAAAAAATATTTTTACTAAAAACTGAAAAAAACGAAAATATTTTTTTTTTAGTTTTTACAAAAAACTGCTTTAAAATACTGAAAAATATTTTCTAAAACAATATTTTTGTAAAAACTGAAAAGCAATTTTTTAAAGCAATTAAAAACTGAAAAAAAACTGAAATATTTTTAACTAAAAACTGGAAAAAAATAATAATTGTTTTTTCAGTTTTTACAAAAACACTGCTTTAGAAATTTTCTTTTTAGTTTTTTTTCAGTTTTTACAAAAATATTGTTTTGAAAAATATTTTTCAGATTTTTTTAAAGCAGTTTTTTTTGTAAAAACTGGAAAAAATATTTTCGCTTTTTTTCAGTTTTTAGTAAAAAGAAATTCAGTTTTTACAAAAAATACTACTTTAGAAAATTGATTTCAGCTTTTGTTTTTCAGTTGTTTCAAAAACATTGTTTTAGAAAATATTTTTCAGTTTTTTCTAAAGCAGTTTTTTTGGAAAACTGGAAAAAAAAAATATTTTCGTTTTTCTCAGTTTTTAGTAAAAATAATTTCAGTTTTTTTCAGTTTTTACAAAAAATAAATTGCTTTAAAAAATTGCTTTTCAGGTATGATTAATGGGTCTTTTTAATTAATTAAAAGATATTTAGAATTGACCAACAAGACGATGACACGTGTCCCTCCGTTTAAATGAGGGGTATATTTGAACCCAAAGTATGACTGCAGGGGTATAGATAACTCAATAGTATAACGAGGTGTATTTTTAGACCATTTTCAAAAGTAGAAGGGTATATTTGGCCCTTTGCCGTTTTTTTTTTATATCTTTTGGCAATTTAAACTGTAGTTCCCCGTTTTCCTTCAACAGGAATTTCTATCCTTTTGATTTATGGATTCTTAACGAATTTGAAATTAGATATGGATAAGAAATTGGAGCATAATTGAATAATTAATACCACAAAGTATTTAAGAATTTGGTGCCTTGTTAGGAAATCGTAAACTAGCATATCTGCATGATAAAAATGATACTATACCAGTAACCCTAACCCCATCTGTCACATTTGATATCGCACTATCGCAAAGTTTAGAAGTTTGAAAATTTTCTTCAACAGGCGATCTTTCAAAAAAGTTTTAAATCTTCTTAAATATTTGGAAATTATGGTTTACACCACTTATTACTCCATGTAATTTCTGAAAATGTAACCATTATTTCAAAAAAAAAAAATAAGGAATTAATATATGACCTCCCTTTGAACAATAGAGCAGAATATCATAGGGTACTTTGAACACGAAACACACTGGCTTTCATATTGCGCTGTAGATATGTTTCAACTGAAAACTTTGAATAGAAACGAGGCGCAGAACAATATATAAGAGTTCAAACAATATATCAGATACAATGAATTCAAACTTGTAGGAGCAGTATTTAGACCAAATAACATCAATTTCGAAACAATTCGTCTTCCAGAAGTAAACTATAACAAACTCAAGATACTCCAATATAGAGGTGGAGTCATTGCCTTGTCTGCACTGCACCCTCTAGATGGCCAGCTGGAAATATTCCACAAAATGCTTCAGTAGTATGCTTTCCGAGGATTGTTCTGAGAAAACAGATATATCAACCTCACTTACAATTATAATAAAAATTTAAGACACCAATTCCACACCCCCCCCCCCCCCCCCCCCTCCAAACCGAGAAACCTATCCTCAAACCAAGAATCGTGATGCGATAGTTTTTACACAAAGACACTGCCCAAGCAGGTTCTCCCTCCTGTTAGGTGACAGTTACTTTTCTGTTGTCAATGTTACCTTTGATACTCTCCCTAGATAGAGGAAGGAAATAATTTTTATCTCGACTCATAGAAGCTTCTATTGCTTCACAAAGAAGGTGATGTCGAGATGGTTCCTTTTGAGTTTTCTTCTCATATTACTGTTGTCTTTTTATTTTCCCTTATGCAAACTGGATTCTATCAAATTTCAGAAACCATCAAAAAGGTTCAGTAAAAGGGACACTAAACAGCAAAGAGAAGTTACCAACCATCAAAAAGGTTCAGTAAAAGGGACACTAAACAGCAAAGAGAAGTTACCAACCATCAAAAAGGTTCAGTTAAAGAGGAGATAAAGGTCGTACCAACGGATTTGGCCTGTACTTGTAGCCTAGCATCATTCGTTTCTTATATTGCTCATAGATATCATCTTCTGGAGTTACCTCCCCGGGTTGGGAAGCACCAACTCCTAAATTATTTGATTTTACATTGCCGGCCGTAATTGGATCTGCAATACCACTTTTAGAGCTCCCTAGTCCTTCACCTGCAGTTTCACATAGAGATGTAGACTCCATATGAATTTACCACTTGTCATCCTAAAACATGAACTATTTGCATTTCAAAGGCTAGTATTTTCCGAGTACGAACTCCTATAAACTACCTCGACAGATGTGCTTGACTTGCATATCATGGCAAAAGTTTTCAAGAATTTCTAGCATTGGCAACACGAGATATACAATATTCAAAACTTTCAAGTCCAGGAAAGTTTGATAGCAACCTAGTTACCACAAAAACTTGCTACACATCGTGTATTTATCCATTTAAATAAACAATATGGCATGGGGGTTGCGCCTCAGACCTGAGGGTAACCTCATCAAGTGCAGAACAAACCCATCCCCTATCCCATTGCCCCTTCAACACTCGAGGGAAGACTCTTAGGGCTCGTTTGGTATGATGGATAAGGGATAATTAATCCCGGGATTAAATTTGAAATGAGTTTATCCAACGTTTGGTTGGGATAAAATCGCAGTATAACTAATCACGGGATTAGTTATCCTGGGACTGTAGTGTTATTTCTATCCCTATGGGAGGGTGGGATAACAATCCCGGGATAATTAATCCATGCTCAATTAATCCTGGGATAACTTGTTTTCCAACCCAAACGACCCCTTAAGGTTAAACCGCCCTGCTCCTAAAGAAAGGTCTATAAGAAAATGGAACCCTCCTTTCCCCAAAAAACAAAGCATAAAAATTTGCTATGTGCTCCAAGATGAATAATAACCAGAGATGGAGACTCCTTAGCTACTACAAAGGTGATTAACAATAAACATCCCGAGTCTTTAGTTCTTTGAGATATTATATTGCAATGAGGGATGGGAGAAAGATAAGTATGCAGATTGCCAGATCAAGTTATAAGGTGTAGCTATCTCAGTCAGCCACATTATCATAGTGGAGAATGAGGAGTATAGCCAACAAGGAGTACCCTTCTGGGAGATTAAGTAAATATTGTTAACCAAAAAAAATAAAACATCTTAGTGGCGAATATTATCTCTAAAATTTACAGGTCCAAGTTATTTGCAGCCAACCCCGTCAGCGTTTTCCTAAAGGGAGGATGATATACCTTCTTTCCAACCCATTTTAGACAGAAGTTTGTGGCCAATATTATCAGCTTGTATTTTCGACCTTTCTGCAGCCTCTATGGCAGCTTTCCGAGCAGCTACATCATTGCAGGTAGACAAAAACTTAGCAAGCTCTTCAGGCGGGATATAGTCTCCCATATGATGCCCCTTCTTTCCTGGAGCTGCAACACAAAATAAGATATCAGAAGACTTGCATAGATATATTTTAATAAACATTTTACTGGATCTATTTTGAGCCCAGATGCCTGAAGTTCTAAGCTTTAATAGGATGATCAGAACAAAGATATAGCAGAATCGAATAAAATCAGCGACAAACCTTGGAGAGAAGCAGGCGGAGGCATCTCATCTTTTGAAGATTTGTATGGCCTCAGCTTCTCTTCTTCTGCAGCTTTCTTCATGTAATATTCCATCATCGATATTGGATCTGACCCCGATGGACCGCTTGGATGACCTGAAAAGACAAAATATCAGTACAAGCCCAACCATAATTGAAAACCTTTCGGAATTTCGTGAAGTTCATCAACCATTGAATTTCTGATAATATGACAGTCTGATGCAGTGCAGAAGGTGCACAAATAATGGCCCAAATGAAATTAAATTTTCCCACAGACAAAACCAGTTCTTCAAAATCTGTAGCTTAGAGGCACAAAACAGTCTTGAGTTTTTTTTTAAATGGTTTTTTTTAAGCTCGGATGCCTGAAGTTCTAAGCTTTTCAAGGGGAAAAGAGACGTGATGAAAAATGATCCAGTTTCAATAAATTCAAGCACTATTTTCTGCCCTCACGTACTCTAACCTCACTAGAAAGCTTATCTGCCTCAATAAACTTGTGTATGCTAACCTATTTTGACAAATTCAGGTACAAAAGCAGGATTTCCATTGTTAGCCATCACATTACACCCAAATCCAGTAGGGTGAATAATCAAAACAAAATTCCAAGAGAATATACACTGAATCACATATAAATGACATTACCAGATTTCCCAGCTGAATCTGAAGAACTTGTATTCTCCGGTGCTCCATATAATGCTGATGCAGGAATTTGGTAATTTGAATGCTGCTGATGTGACCTATGAGAACTACTCGTTGAACTAGGAGTAGCAGTACTAGTAACTCCTACAGCACCAAAAGGCTAATCAAGTGAATAACGGAAGAATCACAGCAAACAAATATTACGTTAATCAAGTGAAGCCAAATGAACTAGACACTAGATGCAAACAAAATGAAGTTGGCGACTTAGTTAGATAAGGCTCAAGCTGCTCCGCTGAAGGCACGCACATGCACACACACACACATATACACACAGTACATAAAATGCCATATAAAATATGGCCAGCTGAAAGCCTTGAGCTTGAAAATATTGTAAACTTCAATCATTTCAGACTCATAGGACTCTAAATCATAATTTAGCTCATAGCTTAATTTTGTTCCTCAAAAGAGGATGCACCTATGGCCAATACCTAGCGAAAGCATATGAAAAGAACGGAAAGAGCAACTACATCTAGCTTCCTAAAAGAAAAAGACAACTCTTACTACCCAGTCACACTTTTACATACATAAAATTCAGGTATACCACTGCCAAAAAACAAACTGCATAAATACTTAGAGAAATACACAAAAAAGCTGGTAAAAGCCTGCAGTCCTATACATGGAAAGCACTAGATTTATGCAAGCAATATAAAGCATGAAGAGAATTTTTACTAACCACTAAGTGATGTTTGGACATCCGTAGTCTGTGATAGAGCCTTTTCCTCTTCACTAAGTCGATAGTCATAGTATTTGTAATCAGAACAGCTTTCATCAAATAAGAACCTGCAAGTAGACAATATTAAAAAAAGAATTTTCTTTTTCTTTGAGAGAGAGAAATCAAATGATTGACCATTACCCATAACATTATAGGCTACAGATAAATATACAGTAAAGTAAACTCATCAGATTGAACTCTAAAAGAGACTGATGATTTTGGCAAACAAAGAGCTCCTAGACGCCAACACAAAATAGACAATTAAACGAACAAGAAGAAAGGAAGAACAAGAAATGAAACCAGTTCTTAAGAGGGTGAGGGGACAACAATAGAAGACAATAGATGCAACAAAAATCATGGATGCGAGGTCATACATCCACAATTGTACCTATGTGCTTTGACAAGACAGGATAAACCATGACAATAAAGGCCATGAAAGAAAAGAACTAATGTTTTATGATATAATGGACTATCACACACACAGAAACCACAGAGATTCTGATTCATACTTAAATGGAGTGTCCCCTGGATTCTTTTGGCGTGTGATATGCTCAAACTGCCTTCCATTCTTGGCCACAAAACTTGCTAACTTGTCTGCAACTTTCTTCACTGTTGGATCACTTGGAGGATTTGGTGCTGCATGTCACTTAAATAACTGATTAATACCAAGAGCATGAACAAGTGAATGTAAATTACTCTTGTAGCCGCATTTTCCAAATCTTTCATTGAACATCTCTTTCCACCAATGTTTGTAGGGACTTAAGGTATAAGCTGCACGATCAGACAAGAGTAACTCAAGAATGTCTGGACCTCCTTATCCACAATGCCTAGAGAATATCCTCATAGTACAAAATAGAATGGTACAATCTTGACTAATGAAGGGCTTAAAGGATTTGCAACATAAGGCTTCAACAACAGTGATGCAGTAAAGCTTTTTTTTCTTTTTTTTGACAAGGACAGAGAAGTAGTAAATGATGAGCCATAACACAATTTGCACAAGACATTAGGTGATTATGTGGTCCAACCAAATAGAAATCACCTCATATGCGACCACCAACAGAAAGCAAAATAAGCACATTAGNTTTTCCGTGATGCATTAGCTTTTAATTCAAAGCTTGGTTTATTAATGACGGCCTTCGGAGTTGAAGATCCCAATATACTGGAGGCTGTCTTAGACTCTTTTGAAGAGGCAGTCTTCACCTTTTCCGTTTCCTTCTCCTGTTGGAGCTGTTTGAACCTCTCCATGAAAGAACCATCATTGACAAATAAGCTAGAATCCGTTGCCTTCTCCATTGGCAAAAAGCCAACTATTGTTTTCTGCCAGCTGTAACTGCTCAACAAGCAATCTTACAATATATTCAGACACTGAATGGTTTCTTTTTTCTGTAAGTATATATTTAGATACTAAATGGCTGCTTTATTATCATTTCTTTCTCGACTGTTCTGTAAGTGATCATAATATTTTGAATTCCAAACAGCATTCTCAAATCCATCATGGCATCAGGAAATTTAATATAATAAAAAAAAAAAAGCAGATTTTTCCTTCTCTTCCACTCCCCTAAGGAGCGCATCAGCATCAAGACCTTGTAGGAGGGTTAAGGCGTGTTTGGTAGACTGGAAAAGGAAAGTCGAGACAGAAAAAGTAAAATTTCCTTTCACTCAACTTATAGAAGGTCATGGATCCCACACTTTCTTACACATTCAGTAAAACTGCAAGACTCAGAAGAAAGATATAAGCATACAGCTACGAACATTCTTCTTAAAAATAAATTCATTTACCACTTCAAGCAAACATATGCTAGATTGTTTTGTTCTCCCTTTGTGTACTTATCCAGAAGAAAAATTCTTCAACCTTCCAGACATTCATATGGATTCAGATAGGTAACCTATACAAAATCTACTTCCGATACTTAATAGAACGCATGATAAAAACACATCATCGATCTAATATAGCAATCAGCTGAATAACCTTCCCTAACAGAAACAATACTAAAGCACGGGAAGAGTAGTTTTCGTCAACTCATGTCCTGTGCTAAAAGCACTAGAATAAACCAGTGTGACACTAACAGACAAGCTTTTTTCCTTTTGAAATGGTAAGTATTAACACTATCAGACAGACTTAGATTAGTCTTATTTTAGCCCGGTAAAGTAATGGGCCTTTTCTTCAGATACTTCTCTCACTGTCAGCATGTTCTAAATAACATCCCTTTAGCCTGTTTGGAAAACTTGACAGTAAAAAAGAAAAGAGGAAATGTGAAGTTACAGGTATCAGGAAACTGCCCTGCAGACGCAAGTGTATTGGCATGATATTCACAAGTTCAGTGCCATTCTAGAGAACTATGCACTTTTTGGATCCAGAACATGCTTCATATCTTCAAATGAGGACATCTAGTGGTGCACTATTTAATGCGTAGAGCGTAGCAAATTCAAAATGCGAAATTGATTCAATAGATTATAAGGGTGCATGAAAATGAGAATCTAACTCAATAAATGAAGGGAACGGCCAGCCTGCCCAAAAAGCTTTTCATTTACAAGCTGTAATAGAGAGTTTTAGATTTCAAATGATCTGACTGATTTCTCTTATAACTTCATATTTTTAGATTATTTTCAATAATCAGATTTTGTCATCTACAATTGCGTTATACTCGCAACCATAACAGCAAAAACAGTTAGGCAATGATAGACGCAACCAGTTAAATGATTTGTTTTATAACTGTGGTGTCCATGCCAGCTTGCGCACACCTCAACTAATTCCACGGGATACCTACCTACCTCCCACAACCGATACTAGGTAACTCTGTCCAGGCTTGGATAGATGGGAAAAAACCACCTAACATTTTTGTCTCTGCAGGAATTTGAACCTGAAATTCAACCCACTTCATTGACCACTACGCCACACACTTGGGTGTCGCAACCAGTTAAATGTTAGTTCCATCTCCTTCAAAGAGTTCATTTGGACCTGTCTGGAAAACATCTTTTTTTTTTTGGATAAGAGTGGTGTTCAGCTCGTCGTAGTTTATTGAAGTATTGTTAGTGCTTAGTAAGTGAATGACAGTTATTTATAATCAGTGGGGTTTGGGGAGGGTAGTGTGTAAGCAAACATTACCCTTCCTTGAAGGCAGGGAGGTTGTTTTCGATAGACCCCGGCTCAAGGAAAGATGAAAAGATGAAAATAAAGCAATAGCAACGAGCAGTAACTCCTCAACAACTCTTCAACTTCAATAAAAAAAAAAAGAATCACTTTTTGCCTAAAGATATATTTTCAATTTTTTTGCATCAAACACCATCTTCCAATAAATAACTTTACTTTTTACAACAAATTACCATAGGCATCGCCACCCGGAGTGACAGAAAAGCACAAACATGAATAAATTTATAGTCTTGATCGAAAAGCTCATCTGTTAATTGAAACCCTAAAGTCATCAACCATAATCCAACAAACTCAAAATTCGACATGCGATAAAATAAAAACAAATTCCGAGAATCACACAAAAAAGAAAATCCACAATTTCGGGCGG